TGGGATTAATGAAACTTCCTTATCTTTGTAAAGTGCTTTTAGATCCCTGGATAAGGTTTTTTTTTTCTAGACGCATAATTTTTAATATTACACGTTGACCAGCTATTTAAGTAAGATAAAAAGAAAAGGAGTACTTGTGGCACCTTAGAGACTAACCAATTTATTTGATGCATCTGATGAAGTGAGCTGTAGCTCACGAAAGCTCATGCTCAAATAAATGGGTTAGTCTCTAAGGTGCCACAAGTCCTCCTTTTCTTTTTGCGAACACAGACTAACACGGCTGCTACTCTGAAACCTGTCATTAAGTAAGATAGTTTATTTTAAAAATTGCCTTGAAATTAATGTGAAATGAATGGGTGTGACTGTATAAATGAGACTTGTATCTCGTATTGATGTAATAAGCATTTTGAAGAAAGGAGTTACCAATATTACTCCAGTGTCCTGGCAGAATTCGGACGTCGGTTCTGCATTCTGCCCTCTTACACCACGCCTGTCATTTCAATTGGATATAGCGTCCTTCTGCGCTTCCTGCCCTGAAGTGTGGTATTCTCTGCTAAACAGCTGCCTCTATCCTCTGCAGACATGGCTGTATTTCTGTGTGGGTCAGCTTCCCGATGAAAGGAACCGCGCAGAAGGTACTAGTCCTGTTTTGTTATTATTATTATTGCTGTTTCACATTAGTTTTCAAACTGTCATAAGTAGAAAGATGCGGTGTAGCTGTAGCCATGGGGGTCCCAGGATATTAGAGAGCTAAAATGCGGGAGATAATCTCTTTTATTGGACCAGCTTCTGTTGGTGAGGGAGACAAGCTCTGTGACAAGCTGGAAAACTTGTGTCTCTCACTAACAGAAGTTGGTCCAATAGAAGAGATTACCTCTCGCACCTTGTCTCTCTGAGAAATAGAGGGAAGCTATAGAATAATTACTTTTTAAAATGTTTTATATATTTTGGAGTGGGGGGGAATCCCATTTTTTTAAAATGTTGTTTTAAATAAATTGCTTTCAGGAGACCTTGGATTAGGGTGACCCGACAGCAAATGTGAAAAATCGGGATGGGGTGGGAGGTAATATATATAAGAAAAAGACCCCAAAATCTGGACTGTCAGTATAAAATCGGGACATCTGGTCATCCTATCTTGATGCCAACATCTAACCAGAAATGAATGTTCAAAGCAGAACAATAGACCCCGTTGCATTCAGTTCTGAGCACTTATCCCCAGAAAGATCCTGACAAACTGGTGGCGTTGGGAGAAGAGCAGTTCAGAAGTGGTGGGGAACTGGGGGGGGGGGGAATGATTTAGAAGAGTGGTTTTCAACCTGTGCTCCGCGGCCCGCGGCAGTCTGCGCACTGTGTCTAAGATTTCCAAAGGGGTCCGCATCGCCATTTAAACTTTTTTAGGGGTCTGAAAATGAAAAAAAAGTTTGAAAACCACTGATTTAGAAGGTCAAAAGAGCTAAATATGTATAGCTTCCTTCAGTGATGACTAAGGGGAGGCGATACCTATCTCAGCATTGAGAAAGGATGTGTTGAACACCCTTCAAGTCTGGGGAACAGCTGTATTGGGGTGTGCAAGGGGTATGAGGAAGAGCAATGGGATGAAATTAACAGAGAGAAACACCTCACAAAGTATATAACTAGCATCAGGCAAGCAACTTGCAATGTGCAGCCGATATCCGTGTGCAACTGGCGTCACCCAGGCGCTTACAGCGTGCAACTGGCATCGCGCGTGCAAACGCCTTGCACGGTGCGCGCAACTGCCATCGCGCGTGCAAACGCCTTGCACGGTGCGCGCAACTGGCATCGCGCGTGCAAACGCCTTGCACTGTGTGCGCAAATGGCACCGCGCGTGCAAACGCCTTGCACTGTGCGCGCAAATGGCATCGCGCGTGCAAACACCGCCTTGTAGGGGGCAACTGGCACGGCGCGTGCAAACCACCGGAGCCCGGCAACTGCTGCCCAGCCACACGCGCCGCGCGCCGCCGCCCCCCCCTTGCAGACCGCCGGGCAGCTGCGCATGCGCCCCGCTGCCCTCCCCGGGCGGGGGGCCCCAGGAGGCTCCGAGCCCGGGGTCCGGCCGGCTGAGGGGAGCGATGCGGGGCGGCTCCCGGCCCCCTCCCCGGGCACGGGCCGCCCAGAGACCCCGCCCGGACCGTGCCCGGGAGCCGCGCGGGGCGAGCGAGTGAGCGGCGGACACCGGGGCTGGCGGGGCCAGTGAGGCGGGGGGGTTGGCTGGGGGCACTGGGGCTGGCGGGGGTGGGTTGGGGGGCGCTGGCAGGGTTGGGGGGGCAGTGAGGTGGGGGGGTTGGCTGGGGGCACTGGGGCTGGCGGGGGTGGGTTGGGGGGCGCTGGCAGGGTTGGGGGGGCAGTGAGGTGGGGGGTTGGCTGGGGGCACTGGGGCTGGCGGGGGTGGGTTGGGGGGCGCTGGCAGGGTTGGGGGGGCAGTGAGGTGGGGGGTTGGCTGGGGGCACTGGGGCTGGCGGGGGTGGGTTGGGGGGCGCTGGCAGGGTTGGGGGGCAGTGAGGTGGGGGGTTGGCTGGGGGCACTGGGGCTGGCGGGGGTGGGTTGGGGGGCGCTGGCAGGGTTGGGGGGGCAGTGAGGTGGGAGGTTGGCTGGGGGTACTGGGGTTGGCGGGGGCAGTGGAGCTGGCAGGGTTGGGGGGGCATTGAGGCAGGGGGTTGGCTGGGGGGGTTGGTTGGGGGCACTGGGGCTGGTGGGAGTTGGCGGGGCAGTGGGGCTGGCAGGGTTGGGGGAGCACTGGGGCTGGCAGGGGGCACTGGGGCTGGCAGGGTTGGGGGGCATTGAGGCAGGGGGTTGGCTGGGGGGGTTGCTTGGGGGCACTGGGGCTGGGGGGGTTGGCGGGGGCAGTGGAGCTGGCAGGGTTGGGGGGGCATTGAGGCAGGGGGTTGGCTGGGGGGGTTGGTTGGGGGCACTGGGGCTCGGGGGGTTCGTTGGGGGCAGTGGGGCTGGTGGGAGTTGGCGGGGCAGTGGGGCCGGCAGGGTTGGGGGAGCACTGGGGCTAGCAGGGGGCACTGGGGCTGGTAGACGTTGGTTGGGGGTACTGGGGCTGGCAGGGCTGGGGGGGCAGTGAGGCTGTGGGGGGGTTGGCTGCTGGGCACTGGGGCTGGGGGAGTTGGTTGGGGGACTGGGGCTGGCAGGGTTGGGGGGGACAGTGGGGCTGAGGGGGGAGGGTGAGGAGAGGACATCAGGTGTGTGTCAGGGACTCAGGGTAGTTTACAAGTTGCTTCCCGTCCTGTGAGTTTTGAAATATTAAACTTCCCAGTGGTTCCCTGGTTGCCCCCGGTGCTGTGGGGATGCAGCTCAGCAGAGCCAGTGCTAGGCATAAGCAGACTAAGCAATTCCTTGCCCTCCCCATTCATTATTAGTATGTGTTTTATTGGGGGAGGAAATATTCCTGCTTAGGCCCCCCCAGTGGGCTAGTGCCCTGACTGCATTTACAGGATGGACAGAGACCCCCAGGTGACAGGCAGGGGTAGGGCCCTCTACGGCATGTAAATACCCTGCTGATCATATGGATGAGGTTCATGCAGGGAGTTGGCCCTTGTCAGAGAGAGGACTGACAAGGGAGAGGGGAAGATTTAGTTGGGGACTGGTGCTGCTGTGAGCAGGGGGTTGGACTAGATGACCTCCTGAGGTCCCTTCCAACCCTGATATTCTATGATTCTTTGAAGAGGTGGAAGGCAAAAGTGGGGACCCTCTTGTCTCTTATAAATGTCTATAGTTTGGAAAATAGCCCAAATCCAACACTGTTCAAAACCCTTTTAGAGCATTTATTATGAACCCTATTAACAAAAGAGGGTTATAGATAAAGTGTAGGGCTATGAACAGAGTCTTCAGCTAGTTAATGCCAGTTAAATGCTAGTTAAAGATGGGGGAGGAATGTAAGGCTGTGTCTATGCTGGCAACTGAATGACAAAACTTTTGTCTTTAGAGGTGTTAAAATACACACACAGACACACACCCCTGAAAGACAAAAGTGTTGCTGAGGATAAGCACCGGTGTGAAAAGCTCTTACAACGCTAACACTGCTTGTTGGGGGTGGAAGATTTTTGTCAGCAGGAGACCCGACAAACAGCGGCTACACTGCGTGCCTTTTAGTGATGTGGCTGAGCGACATAACCCTGTCGCTAAAAGTGGCATAATATAGACATAGCCAAAGTAGCAAATTGGAAGAACCTTCTGAGAGCAGTAGAGAGCCAAGCTGGAGTTAATGTATCCAGAGTGAGCATGGCAGAAGTATTGAGGGGAAACTCTTGTGTTGATGGAGCAAGCCATCTGATTAGGAAAACAATTTTTCCTTCTGAGTGCTCCCCATTATTTTCTGGGGTTGGTATTCAGTCCTTTCAGCTAGGATCCTGTCCCCCTTTTGCTTTCACGCTCAAGCCCCAGTGAGACCAGGTGAAGTGAGTGCAAGTTTGTTTTGGTTTCTTTTTTGTTTTGGTTGTTTTTAGATAATAAAAATATTTATCATTTAAATTCTTATTTGAATTGGGGGAGGAGTGGTTGTGCTTAAAATAAACCTATCAAGCAACCTGCAGTTGCAAAGAGATTGTGCTTTTGGGTGAGGGTTGAATTTGTTGGGCTGTGGTGGTGCTTGTGGGTTGGCCATGGTTTGGTGATAGATCGGCATTATTTTTTTCAACAGCTTTGTTTCTGTGTCTCTGTCATGGTTGCATTTTGCTTCCCAGTAGCTATGCCTGCACACACAGAGTCTGAGATATCTGCTATAATTAGAGGGGAGGGAAAAGATTAATGAAATATTATTGCCTAAACTACTTTGCTGAAATAATTGGTTGAGAGAGGTTAGAGCTAGAAAGAGACTGGAGTTTGCTTTTCTCATCATTACTGATCATTGTCATAAAGGTTTTCAGGCTCCAGTATGAGAGGAAAACCCATAGTATCCCCCTGGAGTTGTTCTGACTTGCATTGCAATTTGTCTGCACAATATAGGGGGAGGAGGAAGGGGGCTGTGCTACGAGGTTCTCAAACAATAATTGCGCTGGAAAACGACTTTCTTGTGTTTTAGCTTCTTCTGTCAATATTTTTTTTCAAGAGCACTTTAATATTCACCCTAGCTGAAATAGATGCTCACAGATTTTTATTTCTACACATTCAACAATATAATTTTGAGTATCTTGTCTTTGTCCTTTTGGTACAACACTTGACGTCTCCTCGCATTGAGTCTAATATTTTTTCCACTAGGAACCAGTGAACCATGTGAGTAAATGTTAGCAATAATTCTGTGCTGCTTCTGTCTTTCCCCTCTCTTTCTGTTAAAAAAATCCAATCCGCTTCTCTTACTTTGTGGAATTTTGGTTTCAAGTGTGCTGCAATTTCAACAACAGCCTGTCGTGATCACAGAGGTAAAAGGGAAGCTTTAACAATATGTGTCTAGTGAAATCAATCCTATCAAAGCTATTTTTATAGATCAGGCTCTTTTGTAGCAGAGTTCAAAAGGCAGCCTTGAATTTGCTGTTTTGAATTTGCTCTTCATAATTATTATTTAAAAGTAAGTTTTCAAAGTGACCTTAGCTGATGAGTGTGGGCCAGCTACAATACTACAATAGTTTTTCTAGTTTGAAAACTTTCCAAAGTGAACCAAAGAGCCCCACTTAGCTGTTGTTGAAGTAACTTGATCATTTGAATTGTCAACAACTTAGAGGTTATTTTATCAAATTAATTCTCTGGGCTATTAAAAATTAACTTTTAAAATGTACAAAAAGTTGGAAGTTGCAGGGAGTAACATATACTAGATTTGGGGGAAGATTTTCAAAGGCACCTAACTCGGTGGAAATCAATAGGAATTAAGTGCCTAACTTCTATTTGAAAATCTTTCCCTTAGGTTTTAAATGTGAAAAAGGCTTGCTTAGTGAGCAGACAGAAAGGATTGCATGGAAAACTTAAGCAGCTGACGCACATTAAGACTAAATGCGTATATATTCCTGAGCCAAAAAGTGCAGGAGTCTAGAAAATGTAATTGTAAAATGTCTTTTGTTATCAGAGCTGTTTTTTACTAAGAACCAAGACTGTAAATCTTTCCAAGTAGTTAGTCCATAGATCTGAGCTGTTTTTGTTGTGCAAAGCTATAGTTTTATAGATGAAAAAGGATTTTAGATATTCTTTTTTAAACTAGATAGGATTTTTGGCCATCATTGGAGGTGAAACTTCTGTGTTGGCATTAAGTATTTGTATCAGATTATTGGGGGACGACGACAATGGATTGGTACTCAGGATGTGTCCCCCATAAGTACCCAGCTGCAGCTTGTCTGCGGTCTGGGGAAGCAGAATCCAACTAGCAGTACATATGCCAAATAAATATCAGATTATGGCCATATAGACTTTAAGCCTTGAATATCTCTGAATTAGTTGTAATGCAATCTCTTCCTTTTCTAAGTAGAAAAAAATTTAAAAAATTTACTTTCATATATATGTTTTGGCATTGGAGGGAATATGTTATATACTGGTAGTGCAAAGATTGGGTAATGTTAACACAGCCTTCAGCATTAGCACTTGCTTTTTTGCTTGATAGAGAATATTTGCCCCAAATCACAGGGTTACTTTCTCTTGGTTTCAAGACGTACCAAGGAGTCTCTAATTTTCATCAGAACAGCAATAAGCAGGTGGACCTTTAATATTCTTTCTTGCAAGGATGCACTTATAGAAGCACATAGAATCATAGAATATCAGGGTTGGAAGGGACCTCAGGAGGTCATCCAGTACAACCCCCTGCTCAAAGCAGGACCAATCCCCAACTAAATCATCCCAGCCAGGGCTTTGTCAAGCCTGACTTTAAAAACCTCAAAGGAAGGAGATTCCACCACCTCCCTAGGTAACCCATTCCAGTGCTTCACCATCCTCCTAGTGAAAAAGTTTTTCCTAATATCCAACCTAAACCTCCCCCACTGCGACTTGAGACCATTACTCCTCATTCTGTCATCTGCTACCACTGAGAACAGTCTAGATCCATCCTCTTTGGAACCCCCTTTCAGGTAGTTGAAAGCAGCTATCAAATCCCCCCTCATTCTTCTCTTCCGCAGACTAAACAATCCCAGTTCCCTCAGCCTCTTGTCATAACTCATGTGTTCCAGTCCCCTAATGATTTTTGTTGCCCTCCGCTGGATGCTTTCCAATTTTTCCACATTCTCCTTGTAGTGTGGGGCCCAAAACTGGACACAGTACTCCAGATGAGGCCTCACCAATGTCGAATAGAGGGGAACAATCACGTCCCTTGATCTGCTGGCAATGCCCCTACTTATACAGCCCAAAATGCTGTTAGCCTTCTTGGCAACAAGGGCACACTGTTGACTTGTATCCAGCTTCTCGTCCACTGTAACCCCTAGGTCCCTTTCTGCAGAACTGCTGCCTAGCCACTCGGTCCCTAGTCTGTAGCGGTGCATGGGATTCTTCCGTCCTAAGTGCAGGACTCTGCACTTGTCCTTGTTGAACCTCATCAGATCTATCCTGCTTCTCCCCATCCCCACCCCTACTCTCCTAAACAGCCTGCAAGCATTTGGTGCAAGTACCAATCCCAGTGTGAGAACTTGATCTCATGACCTTTTGGCCCCAAATTTTAAATTCTACCAGCAGCGCCAAAATGAGGTTGCAAATAGCTGCCTTAAATCACCTTATCTTACTACATTTATGTAAAACTGTTAAAATGGTGATAGGCTAAGACAGTGGTTCTCAAACTTTTGTCCCGGTGACCTCTTGCACATAGCATGCCTCTGAGTGTGACCCTCCCCTTATAAATTAAAAACACTTTTTATATATTTAACACCATTGTAAATGCTGGAGGCAAAGCGGGCTTTGGGGTGAAGGCTGACAGCTCGTGAGCTCCCACATGATAACCTTGCGACCCCCCTGAGGGGTCCTGACCCCCAGTTTGAGAACCCCTGGGCTAAGAAGAGAAGGGACTGTTCCCAACCTGGATTTAGCAACAGAGGCGCTGTCTGACTTCTCTGTGTGCCTAGACAGGAAATATGGAAGTACACAGCTGCATACTCTCCGCTCTAAGGTGCGACCTCCTGAAGGACTGATGTACGTACAGTCTGTCCTTTTCTCCCCAAAATTCATTTGATATAACTTCTATAAAGCTTAGTGGAATAATTCAAGGTGCAAGCTGGAAAAAGGTTTATTTCTGAATGCAGTATAGCACATATGGGGCTGGCTAGGAGGTGTAGTTTTGGGGTGATCAACTCTTTTTTGTTGTTGTTGTGTGTTTTTGTTTCCTTCTAATGAAACTAAGCTGTACCTATGAGAGCTATATATTCTGTGGTCCAATTGCAAGGATGGGGGTGAAGGGGGGAGATGAAGAAGGGTATAAATATGATAGCAGCTGTTTTAAGGCTTTGAAACATCAGTAGCAGCAAGTTTTGCTTGGGCAGATCAGAATGGTTTTAAGCCAGCTATGGCCTGAGTAGTTGTAGAGCACCCTGACAGTCTTTTGAACGGAGTGCTAAAAACAGTGGTTCTCAATCAGGGGTATGCAGGATACACAGAAAAGGTTCAGGTGCTGTTCATGAACCAAGTCAGCTGTACATTCAGACTGATCACCATTTTAGAGTGTTTTGACTGAATTACATCAAGATTAGGAATGTGTCTTTTACAAGTATATCTACAACTCCTGTGAAAGGAACTTTTTTCCGTTTTCAATATCTCCCTTTTCTGTTTGAGTAGCTGTAATTTGACTGTAACATTTTGCTCTGAATTGAAATGTTACATGCAAGGTCTTGGTCCAACAATGAACTTCTTTTTATAGGTTTGGGAAGTTGTTTTTGATTTGATTATAGATAAATCTGTTTTAAGAGACTATCAAAGATTCCAAACATGTTGAGTACAGTTTTGATATTAGACCTACTTCTGCTAAGCTACCCGTTTCTGTCAGTCTTGTGAATGGTCTCTTAAGATGGTTTTCGCTGAGTTTCAAACCAATCCAACTTTTCAAAACTTATGAAGAGGAATTCTTTCTTAGACAAAGACTGTGTATGCCTGATAAGGATTGAATTCTTGCATGGGTTTTGCTAAGTTGTGGTATGTGTTTGTGTGTTTTGGGTGGGGCTAGAGAGCATGGAGATCTAGGTGAGAGTTTCTTTTTGACTTTCAGAAGTCTTTTGAGGTTCAGAAAAAAATTAAATGAATCATGAAATCAGCTATTGCAAATACTCTGAATTTAATCACAAATGAAAAATAAGGGCAAAGGACCACCAAGTCTTTATGAACTATTTTAAATTAGCATGCTGCCAAGTGTGTTTTGGTAACAGAGCATGGTGACATTCTAATAAAGTGATATTTTCAGAAGTAAAACTTTTTGGAGGGAGGATTGTGTGTGTAATTTAAAGTTCAGAGCTTTTCTGCAGCAAGAGACAATACTTACCATTGCACAGTAGCAAAAAGACCAACTGCATTTTGCCTGCTGAAAATGTATATTGCTTAGTTAAAGGCTAGCTATAAATGTTGGACTATGGGCTAGTAGATATTTTTTAAGTAGTGGTGATGTTTAAATTAACATCTCAGGATTTATGTGATAAAATGAATTAGAAGCTTCTTTTTTAAAGCTATAAATAAAAAGATATATTTGAAGTAATAAATGGTGTATTTATGGTCATAGGGAAATGCAATGAAAAATTTGAGTCAGCTGAGCTGATGTTTGAGGCATTTCCCTATGGAATCATTGGACTGAAAAATGTTTTATATGCTTAAACTTGAACAGATGCTTCAAAACACAGACACACATCTATTCCAGTGCAAGTTTAATATTAGCAGCTCCATTTACACCACCAGGATTAACTTGTGAACACTTCCATTTTAAATACCTATTTTCAGTGTCTTTTAGTTCACCTCCAAGGCCCAAAGTCAGGAAGGTCTTTAAGCATGTGTCTAACTAAAAAGAAAAGGAGGACTTGTGGCACCTTAGAGACTAACCAATTTATTTGAGCATAAGCTTTCGTGAGCTAAAGATCACTTCATTGGATGCATTCGAAAGCTTATGCTCAAATAAATTGGTTAGTCTCTAAGGTGCCACAAGTCCTCCTTTTCTTTTTGCGAATACAGACTAACACGACTGCTGCTCTGAAACCTGTCTAACTAAGTGGTGCAATTGGTGTCAGTGGGATTGCTCACAAGTTTAAAGTTAGGCATGTGCTTAAGTGACTTGCTGAATTGGGATCTAAATTTCCACATAGGAAATGAGGCTAAATCCTGCATTCCTTTCTTAACAG